GGTCCTGGTGCTGCAGCCTCTGCTGAATACCACCTCCCTGTAGCCTAGGAGAAAGCATGTTGTGCAATAGCAGCAGCAGCCCAGCACAGCTTGTTACTTGCCACCTCTGAGGATTAAAAGGTTTTGGACAACAGCTAGAAGATCATTTTTCAGGACCCCACATGAAGGCTCCCATGTGAAAGGGGATGAGATGTGAGGTATGGTGCCTGCGTTCTGCCCCTGGGTTAGGGAGACTGTGCTACAAGACCACACTTGGCTGTGGGTCCCAACTTCTGCATTCACCTCTACTCTCCTGCTGCAGCTCCACAGCCTTTCTAAGCAGCCTGGGCAGATTCAGGCAGCTGTCCTCAAACCACAGCAGAGCACTCTGGGGTAGGTTTGAATCCAGCCTGAAGGCTTAGACACAGGAGAGAAATACCCAAGGACCTCAGCTCTCGACCAAAGACACACAGCTCTGTGAGCAGGGAAGTCCCCTTCCCTCTCCTATGGTCCTGCGTAGAAGGTCACGTGCAAGAGAAAAGGTCTGGAAATCACGATTCAACAAGAAACCACCACAAGACACTAGAGCAAAAATTATCTATTTTATTACAAAACCAAAATCAAACAGATGCCTCTCAGCCTAACAAACAGTGGCCAAGGCAGAGATGTGCTGGGGCAGGGCAAGTTCAATGGAAATTCAGGCCATGGGAAGTGGTGCCTTCACGTGGATGAATCCCACTTCAAGGCAGTTCCCTCCAACACACTACACCCTTGGATGATCAATGAAAAAGGATGAAGACTTTTGCTTCTGGCAGGAAGAGCAGATGCCTTGCCCTGTGGAGCCCTGGTTCTCTTCTCTGTCCCAGCTGTTTTCAGCTGTCATTCAAAGTAGAGCTGGAGAGGCCCAGGAGGTCTTGAAGGATGAGGAGAGACATGCCCAGGGTCTACTTCTAGGTACAATGCTGGCACTGCTCGTGCCCCAGGTTCAGTAGGGTGCTACTGATGCAAGGCAGAGCAGAAGAAAGCTCACCACTGCCAGATAAGGACATGTTTGGCCTGGCAGCCAGGTGGGTTGGCCAGTTACCTGGCAACAAAAGCAGCAAGGGAAGAGGGGAGAGGAGGCACTGCTCTCTTCTGATGAGTACATACTTTTTTGGACAACTCATAGGATGGGTTACCTGAAGGTGGACCGGTGCTGTCTGCATCACCCTCCTGCACACAGCCCCAGAGCAAGTAACCCAGCCTCTGCCTGGGCGTTACACAACCCTGCTGGTTGGTCTCGCATGCCCATGTCCAACGGTTGCCCAAAGCTGCTCAGAGGCCTCTGCAAACCCAGCAAGTGAGGACCTGGACTTGTCTCATGAAAGTAAAGGGGAAAGCAATACAAAGCTTGGACCTAAATCCATCCATAAAGTCAGCTCTAGCACTGCAACATGATGATACCAATATCAGAGCTAACATCAACAGCTACCTCTTGCCTGGCTTCCTTCAACCAACCCAGTTTTAACTGCAAACTACATGTGAATGGTGGCCTTTTGGAGGGGAAGGACACAGGGATGAGAAAAAGGAGGTCTGCAGAGGGATTTAGGGGACAGGCAGGAGCATTGGCTGGTTGGGTTACTACATGCAGTGACTTCTAGCAGCTCTGCCCTGTCCCCTCAACCTTGTGGGGCACTGCCTGGCCCCAGAGGCTGGCTGACAGAACTCCCACAGGCATCCCATTGGCTGCTTTTGCTGGATGCAACTATACATTGAAAAAAACCCACATCAAACCCAACACCAACCCAGCAGCCAGAGCTTTTAATTCCTAAAACTAACATATTAAAAAAGGAGAGGGTTTCTTTTATACAGTTGGATTCATTCTTTACTCCTACAATAGGATTAATGAGTGATAGGGACATTTCTAACTATACACTAAACCAAATCATTTCAACACACAAAAGAAGGGCCCTGGGCATTTATAAAGAGAAGATGCAATCAAGAAGATGGGAGCTTGCAGGACAAAAAAAGCACATACATTGTATGTGAGAAACCATGAAGATTCAGCAGCAGGACCTGCTCTTGCTAAAGAGATGACTTCTTTGTGTTGTGGTGGTGTGAGGCATACTGCAGAGATTACCAGAGGTGCTTTCAACCATGCCAAATGCTTTAATTAGCTCCAATTGACTTTGCAGAGGAAGAGTTGTTACTACTCCTAAATAACTATTTATAGAGATTTTGGTTGGTTGGTTTTGGTTTTTTAATCTTTCTGTTTTGTCAACAAGGCATTAACAGGCCACTCCTGCTGGGATGTGTTCACCACGACGATGTGCTTCCCAGTGAGGGTGCTGTGCTGCAGCACCTCCTACCCAAGGAACCAAGGCTCGAGGGCCCAGCTCAGTCTCCACAGGAGCACAGTGCTGTTGGTGTGATGTGGAGTCACCATGGCATGGCATCACCCCTGACTGCAGAATCTGGGTCCAGAGATGAGTGGCACCAGGGCCGCCAGGTCTGAAGTGAGCGGCTGCTCTCAGGACATTTCCCCTGAACAGGAAAGTGCTGCCAGTGGCTGGAAATGCACAAAGCAAAACTGTGTCCCATCATGCTCCACCCCAACCGAAGGACTGTGTCTTTCTGCACTCACAAAGACATCCTCTGCTCTCTTTAGCAAAGCAACAGGCAGGCTAAGGCTGCTTTTAGCAGGCTTCTGAGCCTGCAGAGTCATGCATTTGCAGTTTATTTCTGCCTGGCTTGCAAGAGGTGCAGGAACTACTTTTGTAGATCCTTAACACCACCCTGACCTATCTCTACTTGAAGCAGCTTTGCAGCACACGAATACTTGGGTAGGTGAAATCTGTGCTCTCCCAAAAGCCCCAGCTGCCTGTGAGTTGCACAGGGCTTTGCAGTAAGAAAAGAAGGGGTTCAGCTGCTGCCAAGGAGCATTTGTTACCTGGGGCACTGTGGGCACATCTGCAAGCACAAGTCATGCCGATATACTTGCTCCTTTTTGCAAGGTTTGCAACTGAATGATGGTTTGGTGGCAGAAATGAATGCATCATGGTAAGCCATCAAATGCAAATGTCCCTCTAACCCAAAGAGCCTCCAAAAGCAAAGGGAGGAACAGAAGAGCGACTCCAACCCCTGTATACAAGACAACTGTACAATTTACATATATATTTATATACAGTATATAAAATTCTCTTTCTTTGAGTCCCAGTGAACTCAATTTTACATCATCAGTAGCTGTTCCAATTTTCAAAAGTCATGATCCTGCTTCCCCCCGCGCTCTCCAAAGTATTAGATAATGGCATTGAAAAGCAATTAAAAACAAACCCAAACCCAAACCAACTATTAAAAAGTGCAAACGTTCTGGGTGCCACTTGTGCTAGGCGGGACGTTGCTGAGGCTGCGTGCTCGCTGACAAGCAGCAAGGTGTCTGTCCGTCTGTCGCTGGATCCTTCCTCCCTCTGGGCTGGCTCCTGCCTTCCCCTTCCCGTCTTCTGCTGCTACACCAGGCGACCTACTGGAAGGGTGAGGTGGGCAAGGAGGAAACAAAAAAACAAAGAGAAAGTGAGGGGAAAAGGCACGTTAAAACCAAAAGGGCACCTGACTGATAAAAGACACGGCGCAGCCTCCGCTGCAGCCACGGCCCCAGGAGGCCGAGATCCCAGTGGAAGCTGTGAGGCTCCAAAGAACCAGGGGCTAAGGAGACAGCCTGGCTGGAAAAAAAGCCTTGAATGAGTCACCTGGAGACTGGCGTATTTTTAAACACAAACCACCACTTTCCTCTCCTTCCCCTCCTCCTTGGAAATGGGCATGCAGGCTGAGGAAACAACAGGTCTGACATCTCCCCCTCTGCTCTCCTGCCTGCCATGGCTGAGGGAGAATCCCACGGCTTCCAGGCTGCCCTGCCACCATCTCCCCCCTGCCTCCTCCTCCCCAGGCAGGCAGGAGAGATGAGAACAAACCAGCTCTGCCCACCCCTGCAGCAGCACAAGGCAGCGCTCTGTCTCCCTGCTCCATGGTTCTTAGGCACCTGCCTGCACCTGGCACTCTGAAGCCCTCCAAGCTACTGAACCTGTGGGTGAGATACAACCTACTTGGAGCTGGAGGTCCCAGGACCCTGCTGAGCTATTAGTGTCCCAGCAGATGGTGCAAGGGTGCTGCTTGGTGTTCCAGATAGATGCTCACAGCCCCACACTTGTTTCTTCACAAAGCTTTTGTTAAGCCCCTCATCAAAGGTTCTTAAAGAATCAAAGCTCTTACAAGACACAGTGAGAGCTCTGTGGATTAACTACAGGTGAAAACACGCTGGAGAGAAGGCAGAAGCATGGATTTGGTTTTCAGAAGGGAGGAAGGTTACCAGACAGGCCTCGCTGGGATCAGTGCTAATCAACATGCCCTGTCACGGGGGGTGATGCTGTCAAATGGAAAATCATTCCAGATAGTCATATTGGAACCTGACCACAGAGCCCTGCAGAAGGCACTCGGAGTGCTGGTGACCAGCTCATAGAGACAGCAGATTGACTTCAGTGCAGGATGTGAGCAGGGAGCAGGGATGACCTGTCCTGCACTGAGCACGCTGAGTGATGAGGGAAGAGGTCAAGGCCACAATACACAATTACTTGAATGCCTCCACTCAGCTTTTAGCAGCAAACAAAAATCAAACACAGGCTCAGAACTGAGGACACACCAAGAAATATCAATGTATGAAGCTTAGCTGATCATCATCTTCTGTTCAGCCCATCTCATCGGGGTGGGAGAAGGTACCCAGAAAGGTCTGGAGCTTGGAAGAGGTATGGGAAGACTTCTGTCATTAAGCAAACACGTAGCCTAGGTCTTTTCAACATGGAAAGGAGTCTCACCAGACATCATATGCCAAAGAGCTATAGAACAGGTGACAGGGTAAAGACAGGGCAGGGGAGAACTGCTCACTGTTCCTCACAGCCCCAAATGAGAAGCACCCAATGAAACCTTGAGGCAGCAGGTCTAAAAGGAAAACTCTTTTCAAAATGGAAAGGAGTCTCACCAGACATATGCCCAAGAGCTATAGAACAGGTGACAGGGGAAAGACAGGGCAGGGGAGAACTGAGAGGTTCCTCACAGCCCCAAATGAGAAGCACCCAACGAAACCTTGAGGCAGCAGGTCTAAAAGGAAAACCAATAAAAGCTGTTCTTCACGCCTGATAAAAGAGTGGGACACACTGCTACAAAATGCAGAGGAGAGCACATCTTCACTGGGACAAAGAGTCTTCACAGAAACTTGCCCATGGAGTACAGAAATGTAAGCACCACAAATCACCTAAGTCACTGCTTGCTAAAAGCAGGGGAAATAGGGTAGGAGAGTGTTCTTGCCACAGCTCCTGTATCCTATTCCAACTCCTTGCAATGTACTGTCTGCTCCAGCTAAAGAGAGCTCTGGGGATGATGCAGCAGAGCTGCATGTTATTCTATTCACACCTCTTACAACCAACTTCAGCTTCCAGCTGTTTCTATAATGTTATTCATGAGCAAGGGAGAATGAATTTCAGGACACACGGTTATCAGAGGGGAAAAAAGGAAACATTTTGACAAGATACTCACTGAAAGGGTTAAGGCCTTGTCTTTTTCCATTGGGGAAACTGCTCAGGCTACCTGTAAAATCCAAGAACCACGTTAAAGGCAATAAATGCCATGGCATGACAAAGGAGCCTCCCCATGGTCTGCTGCTGGAGGGCAGGTTCCAAGGAGCTCCTCTGAGTTGTGTGCACACAGCAAGCCCTGCCAGCACTCTTTAAGATTTACATGCAAGAGTCAGACTAATGTGCTTGAGATGAGAGATGTTAAATACCTAGTGTTACAGTAGCTGAATGTCATGAAATCCAGAGGTTTGGTGTGGGCAAGAAGCAACAATTACAAGGTTAAATTGAACTGTGGAAGGAGGAAGAAGAAGAAAGGAAGGATGCAAGTAGTGCCATGAATTTTCCCAAAACAGGTTTTGATAACAGCAAGCAAAATGACATCATGGGGCAGCCAGAAAAGAGTGAAGGTGTAGGCAATACAGACAGCCCAAGTTTACTCAATCTTTAGCTTGGATCAAACAGGTGCCTAAAGGCAAAGACCTGAACTGACAGGTGGCAGAAGGGCATGGGCAGAGTGGAGAGCTGTGACTGTCATGAGGTACAGGCAGACACACCCTACACCAGATGGAGCTCGTGACAAGGGCTCACACCTCTCCAACAACCCGCTCCTACCACCTGCTGGGTACAGACAGCTCTGGGATTACAGGAGCTATCAGAAGCATGTCACATCTCCTGCTAGCTGCTTGGTCTGATTTCAGATGAAGGCTTAGCTGGAAATGGGAACTCCTGCTCTCAGCCAGAAGCAGCCTGCCCAGCCTAAGACTGAGCTCTGACTTGTGTGTGCATCTGGCTCAACTGCACAGCTTGCTTTGCACATCAGGCCCTTTGCACACTCTGTGCAAGAGCAAGAGGAGCAGAAGCTCAGATAGGAGGGGTGAGCCTGGGGAAGCCCCAGGGGATAGCAGCCTGGGCTGCAGGACAGAAGTGGAACCACTGGGGAGGAAAAAAGAGGGGGAAAGAAAGGTGGCAGTGGCCAAGTTTGATATAGTTTGCCAAGCACAACTTGTTGGCCCTGGGGAGCACTGCTGGGTCGTGCATGACCAAGCCCCAGCAGGCTGCCCAGGTATGCAAGAAGGCTTGTGGGTATGGCCCCATACAACCATGCTGGGAAACCACCCCTGAAGCACAACACTTGTCACCCCAAAGGCACAGGGCAGGGGTATAGAATCATACCAACCTCTAAGCTCATCAAGTCCAGCCATCACCCAACACTACCATGACCACTAAACCATGTCCCCAAGTGCCACATCTACATATTTTTTTAACCCTTCCAGGGATGGTGACTCCACCACCTCCTTGGGCAGCCTGGTCCAATGCCTCACCACTCTGTCAGGAAAGAAATTCTTCCAAACTTATAAACACAGGCCAGCCACCTATGCCTACAGAAGACAAAACCCCTTCAGAACAACAGTGCACCGAGCATGAAGGTGACATGAGAGGAAGGAATATGGCAGATGGTGACAGCACGTTACTAACACATACCTGGGAAACGTTTGGGTATTACAGGGTAACATCCCATCATTCAGTACATTTCCTAATGGAGGGTATCTGCTCAGCCTCACAGGTACACTGTTTTGGGTAACAAAACAATTCTAGCCATACTAGATTAGGCCAGGTGTCCTTCAAAAGGAAAAGGCCCAAGGAAACCCCAGCAGCTTTTTATAGGTAGAAAACAATTCCTCAGACTTACTGAGCAAAGCTCTCACCTTTGATGGGGGAGGAACGTGCTACCAGAAGTCTTATCTTGTGTTCTTAACACAATACTGATGTCCTGATACATACTAACCATCAGTAATTTTCCTCAAGATTAAAGATGACAAACTATAGCACCTCTCCTGAGGGAGATATCTGAACAAGGCAAAAAAAAAAAAACCCAAGCAATGAACCAGCAGAGCTCGTCTCCATTCTAATCTAATTGTAGTTAGATGTACTCTGAATTTCCTTTTTATTAACTCAGTAGTACCTGGTTACAGGTTTCTCCTAGCACATGAGAAACCTCATAACACATTTCTAACCCAGACCACTAGGAGCAGTTACTTCTGCAGATACCAACAAGAAGGTTCCCAAACACCACAGAACTAAATCTGCTGCTTAGCACGTCACTTTCTGCTGGAGCTGAGCAAGGACGACACGAAGAAGGAAAAATCATGGACAATCTGCTTAATTACACACATGCTTTTTAACTGAGACATTTTGATCCTGGTTCTGGACTGTGTTCTTAGTAGCTGGCTGTTGGCACAGACAGTGGCTGGGTTCCACCCCAGAAGCCCTCGTGGCCTGTGAAGTGCACCCAACACCTACCATCTGACAAGCTCTTGGATGGCAAAGCAATCACGGGATCTGAGCTGGCAGAAGGAAACTTCCCGTCAGCTGGCCGAGGACGTTTCTTTGCTGCTTAATCCCTCAGCTCCTCTTTGGGCAGGCACAAAATGCTGACTTTGTCTTCTGAATTTGGAAGAATATAGAGGTAAAACTCAACTCCAGCATTTTGCAGCCAGCACAACTTGCATAAGCTTTGCTCGGATCTACAGTCCTCCTCTCCGTGATCACTGGAATCCAATTAATCTTGGGTCCAGCAACTTTCCAGCAAAGCTGTACAGTGCACGTCCTTCTCCTCTCAAGGACCCTGTCTTCTGAGTTAGCAGAGAGCTAAATTTGTTGTTTGATCACAGATGGTTCCCCCTTAACTCAGGCTGTGCAGACTGCACTGATGAATACTAACTTCTAACAGGCTGTAAATCTGTTTTCCTTCCACAATTCCTCAAAGAGCCAACCCTACATCAAATGAAGGCAAAGACTCTTTCTGGCGTGCTCCAAGCCTTCCTTGCTTCTTCTACCCCTGTTTAAGAAACCATTTTCAGGCTTCTGCAAGTCCTCAAAGGCTGGTTCTACGTGGCTACTTCATTCTGAGATCCAGGAATGGCATTTTTCCATCCGAGTTGCCCTTGATAAAAAAGCATCTGGTTTAAGCAGAAGGAAAAGAACTGTGCAGAGTGGCCACCAGACCTAGCAGATTTCCTAGCAAATTTCTGGCCATTTCTGGAAAAGAAGAAGAGTTGCTGGTAGCCTGTTTTCCTCACTGAAGAACCACTGCCTGGCAGCACTCACATATTAGGCTACTAGAGGCACCAAGAACCTGCTGAGGAGGGGAAGACAGACAGAACTATGCATCTCAGGTTCAATCCTAAGCTGGAGAGAGCTCAGATTCAGCTTTGTCCTTATGAATATCCCAGCTGAATCCTCCCACATAAATCTTATTTATTTAGACTACCTCGTGCCCAAGAGGCATGTAACAGTGCTGACTTATCTATGCCCTGTGCTTCCTTCGAGCAACACTATTTCCACATTCGGATGATACTGGGCACAAAAAAAGGAAAATAAAGAAAAACACCAACAAAAATGCAGAACCTTAACATTTGTTTTCCTCAGCAGCCCAAACCCTACACAATTTGTGTTAAGTTTTATTTTCAAAACCATTACAAGGGTTCAGTTTGCCTAGCAGGAGGCACACTCACCTGAAATGATAAACCACATCATTTAGTCCTTATGCTGATGGGTATTCAACCAGGATTTGGAATATCTAAGGCAAGTTCATTTGTACTGAAGCATAACAAGAGGAAATGATGACTTTCCTTGCCTCCCTCATCCAATCCAGACCAGAAAAACCTTTCATGCAAAGCTTTTGTTGAAACAGGAATGTTTCCATGAAAGCTTTTGATTTCATCTGACTGGCAGCTTACAACTGAAAGTCTATCATCAAAAGGTTCTCAGTCAGCTTCTGTCTTGGACCCAGAGTGAGCTCAGCCCCAGCAGATGTTTGGGGGTGATGGTATGGAGAGGAAAAAAAAAAAAAGTGTATATATATATTTGACTACTTGACTGACAGCATGCACCCATAATCAGGATAAGGGAAAGTTGGAGAAGGGCTAAGCTACTGGTTGTTTCTTAATTCAGAAGTTCTTGTGAACAGAAAGCAGAGCAAAGTTGTCCTCTACCACCTCATAAATTCATGACTTCTTAAAAAAGAGTCATCACAAATGTGCTTACTGCACCTCTACTATCCCCCAGTTCTTTCCTACATGTACCTGCTCCCTACACCAACCCCTCTACTTCTTTTTAGACCTCATCATCCTTTAGCTCCCCTCAGTTCTCCTGCCACTTAAATTACCCATTTAAGCTTTGACCCTCAAAGCCTATCAGGTCTTTAGTAGGTATGTGGAGCTGTATGATAAAATGAGGTCAGAGTCCCTTTTTGCACACCATGCAATGGAATGAATCATGAAAGGCTGCATTTGCAGAAAACAGTTGGACAATCACTCCCAGCAACGTCTTGCTGCTTCTTTTTCCCCTTCACATGGGCTCAAAAATTTACATTTTCTTCCTTCTTTTTTTTTTTTTTTCCTTTCCATAAACTGAATTTTGAACAGTTGGTTGGCCAAGGCAGCAGATTCTGAAGTCTTACTCCAGGCCAAACAGCAATAAAACCCATTTGGCATATCCATCTTATTGGGAAGGTAATAAAATTAAGGAACAGGGTTGCTATTTTGGCACATCATTCCTCAATAAGGTACTGATGACTAATAAAAAAACTTCCACTGAGCTAGGGAAGATGAAGGTTTTTCACAGCTGATGAGTGAAGCAACAGGTTTATTATGGCAACAAAGATGTTTGCAAAGCACCTATAAAAGGCAACTTCCCAACACCCAAATGCACTGACTCCCTTCCTGCTTGTGCTAAACCTGAGGAAAGAACTAAGGAAAGGTTAAGCCTGGAGAAAAGAAAGTTACCCACCCTTCCCAACTGGCACAATGGTTACAACAAGAACTGTCCACACAGCCAAAACACCTGCACAGGAAATTCAGTCCCCTGGAATCTCCCTGCTTGCCTTCCCCTGCCAAGCAAGTCTGCCCACAGTCAAGAATGATAATTATTGAATTTGTGATGAACAGTTTCAATTCATAAAATTTCCAAAAATACCAGTTTGGTCCAGGTCCCAGCAGAAGATGAGGTGAAGGTGAAAGGGGAAAAGGAAGGAGGGTGGATGGCTGCTGAGGCACTAAACAGAAAGGCAAATCCATTATTCATACGCCCTATTTCTCCCTCAGTCTTCCAGTGCAATTTAACTCTGAAAAAGGGCAACAGTCGAGCCCTGCGCTCTCTGAGTGGTTCTCTCTGCGTCATCCACTTTCCTGCATGCTGGATTTAGCAATGAAAACAAATATTATTTCTGTTAGTCAACAGGGCCTCTGGAGAAGGACTGGGTCTGGTGCTGGCTCATACATCATCCAGCCTACATGGTTGAGACAACAGAATATTGTTAGCAGGGTATTACTCAGAAGGAACCTGATCTGAACTACAGCTTCCAAGGAGGGAAGTACAGTACACACAGGGTTTTGGGCAAGGCTCATCTTTTTGCCCTATTTCTGTGCAGTGCTTAGCACAAGGGTCTGTGATAAGGAGTGTAAGACAGAGCTGTAACACAAATGATGAACTACATTTGCGTGGCTGGCTATTAATCCCACCCATTTTCTCACACAAACTGTGGGGGTTTTGAATCACCTGGGAGAAAAGAGATTCCTGAGTTTGCTGTAACTCCACGCCAGCCTTTCACACAATGGGGGAAAAAAAGGCACCCACCTCCTTCCTTGCTGACTCCCAAGCAGCCCTTCAGCTCCTGAAGCGAGATTGACTTGTCCTTGTTGAGGTCACAGTAGTCAGTGAAACGTCGGGCACATTTCTTGGGCTTGGCTTTCTTCTTTACATAACGTTTGAAAGGCTTCAGCTCCCGCTTGTTGATGTCATTGCTGCTGTTGTTGTCCAGCTGGCTGAAGTACCAGTGCACCACTCGCTCCTCCAGCGTGTGGCTGGGGTCTGGCTCAGAGAACCTGGAAGAGAGGAACCACAGGCCCCTGACAAGTGGGTGCTCTCACCACCATCATCAGGCAGAGCAGCCAGAGCTGGCTGCCGAGTCAGACACACGTTACGCCGTATTTAAAGCGGGCAGAATACACTCTTACAATCTCTTCTTTCAATTGGGCTCTTTTGAGAGAGAAGAACTTTTTCTAAAAATATCCTTTAGCATTAACAGACAGACCAATGCCCTCAGTAGCTCTGGTTCTCCCCGCACAGGTTGCTGAAACTCTGCCTAATCCCAGAAGGATGCCCCTTTAGAAGGCAAGAGGCGATCTCCATGGTCATGTTGACCCTTGGACTTCCATTCAAGTTACCAGCAGGAGAGCCATGAGTGTCAGCTGTCATGGTAGCTTCTGAACCACCACGTGATAGCAACACCTAAACTTCAAAAGGGAACAAATTAATTTAATGCAAGACACATTCATTATCTGAAAATATCCTTGGCAAGATGCAACATTTCTGCTGAATCTATTTACACAATCTAAAGTCCTGTGCTGTATTTTCAGCATATTTAATGCTTCTCACATGGTTGATTTATACATAAGAATTCCACAGCAGACAAGCACCACAAATCCATTAAAAGCAATACTACAGAACTGGCAACTTCAGTTTGCCTCATTTCTTATTCATTGTGATATTACAAGTTTGACGTTATTTTGCTCACGTTTTCTTTCTGTGGACGACAAACGATATCAGAGAGGAGGAGAAGAGCAGGAGGAAAAGCAACAGCTGAAGATGCACAAATAGAGAATGCTGTCATTCAATGTCAAGCCATCACTGAACAGGCAGTGTTACAACCTACCATTTATGTGTCTGGTGCTCTGCAGCAGCAGTGGGAAGGGTTACTCCTCAGTCATACAAGGAACCAGGCAAGAAACTCTTTCCAAAGAAGAATTCTTTAAAAATTGCACTAAGCTAGTCCATCTTTTCTCCCTGTGATGACTGTGCCAAGAGAGAAAGCTGAAATGATGCTGAAATTAGGCTGAGACTTGAGCCTTTTTCCTCCCAAGAATGAAGCACGTCAGTGCATGGAAATTAGTGGATAGGTAGTTAGGCACACTACTCTGGCACTGCTTGCTCTGACTTATTCCAGGAGACACCTCCAGCTACCTAATTCCTTCCCCAGAAGTGAGAGGGACAGTTGTGTGCTGCAGGCAGCCAGGTTCTGCTGTGAGTTTGCAGTGTTCTAGCTGATGGGAAAATACGAACCCAGTTACCTTATAAAATGCACTTTAAGACTGTCACCAAACTCATTTCAGAAACTGGTGGGATATATATTTAAATGGTCACTGAAAATTTGTTTGCTGGGAACTAGAAGGCAGCAAATTCTTTCCACCTTCTGGTATGATTAGTTTTGACTCTAAAATGCAGGTACAGAGCCTGAAAAATAAAAACCCCACCCTACCACCATGGCAGTTTAAATCACTAGTGAAGGTGAGTCTGCAACATGCAGAAAGCAAGCTCTGGAGCTTAGGTGGAGATCAGAGATCCCCATCAACCTTCTCTGATAGCTTTTACAAATGAGGATACAATTTAGAAATGTAGCCAATATCCAGAGACATCTGGATCCTTGAAACAACTAAACATACACAGGAGGGAGAGGCAAACAAATGGCACAACATTTTTCCCAAAGTTTTACTTGAAACGATCTCCTTCATCATTTAATTTTTAGCTGAGAAGCAGCCTGGGATTCAGTTACAACATCTGGTCAATGTACAGTGGGATAAACACTGTGGGAGAGGGAGAAGAGGTTGGGAATAAGTTTGACTTAGCTTTGGGAGCCAAAACACAAGGCAAGCCCCTGGAGCCACCTATGCAGAAATTGAAAAAATCTCCCCAGGAAGCTAAGGGAGTGTCCAGATTTTTCAGAGCCTTGAAACTGTATGTGAAGACCAGGATGGCAGGAGAGAATAAAAACACATCCTGCGGCTTGTTTTTATGACATTTATGAATACAGTCATTGGCCTCTCTCCCATTTGGAAATGAGCTGGCTATCATTTGAAGACTAGCATGTTTCCAAGAGCCACATGGAAGTCCCACATTGCAGGGGACAATATTCTGCTTTTGGTGAAACAGAGGAATAAAATCTGAACTTCTGCATGTGAGATTTTCTTTGTTTCTGGAGGGTCCACAACTGGAGAAGCAGAAATGGAGAACACAGCAGAGCATCTTAGAACCAACAGCAGGAAGACACCAGACAGGAGCACAAGCTTCTCTCTGCCTGCTTGAAGAGACACTCAGAAGGACTTAAAAGTGCCTTTTTTCAGAGGCACACCAAGGAGTTTTATGAATTACCAATAAAGGCAATAGAGCCCTCTTCAGCACCTCCATAAAGAAAATCAGAGAAATCCACAGGCTAATACAAATACATTGACTCATGAGGTGCCTCAATTTGCCATTACATCAAATGCATCAATTTTTGCCATTACAAACATGCTGAGAGCTCATGCTGAAAGCTGCAGCATGCTAATGGAGCTAAAGGGAGTTAGTTTAGCTCTTATGATTGCAGGAGGAAGGAAGATACAACCATTTCTGAGTTGTTACCACTTCCTATTGGCAGGGGTTGCAATTGCCTTCCCTTTCTGATGATCATGAATCTCAGCTCAGGAAAGCTCCACATCATCTCAGTGCAGCCGTGTCTTCCTGGCTCATGAAATTATGTGATACACTCGAGAAGGCTGAGGTTACACCACCATACCTAACTATCTTGACTTTGACAGCTGCCCGTGCAAGACACTTTATGCACCATCCATGAAACAGGAATTGATGCAACTCCACAGCACTGCTCAGCCACCTAGCTTTGATGATGTGCCATGACAACAACCGTATCTGCTGGGTCAGCTGAAATACATCTGGGGCTCTAACTGTGCAGCAAGCACAGACCTTGCAGGAGTATTCCAGAGGAACTTCCTTCTCTTATCTCTCCATTGCTGCTGCAAGAGAAATCAATCAGCCTTCAGATGGAAATTTCATTTGTTGGGCTGCCTCTCTGCTCATTGGGACCATAAAGGAATCAGAAAACCCAAGAGAGAACAAAGCTGCTTTGCACATTCTCAACTCCCAGCAAAACACCATCTCTTGCTCTAGCACCAGTCACACAGAAATCCGCTGAATCCCAGTCTCTCACTCCAGTGCTGAGGCAGCTTTGCAAGACCTAGTAAAGGCAGACATTACCCAAATGGTCTGTCAGTAACAGCCTAGGACAGGGAATCTGCTCTCTCAGTTTTCAAACAAATTTGTTGGCATCAAGTATGTAGTCTTCTCTAAGGAGGCTTTTACTCCTCCTCCACTATGTACATTTGCTCCCTCATAGGAGGAGAATACTTATTTCTTAGGTGGCTTATGCTTGGAGATATGTGGGTTAAGGTACTTTTACCAATACTGTTTTTCCAGTCGAGACACACAGAACACCTTCATATCATCTGGTGTAACTGGGGTACAGGCAGAAAGCAAAGAGGCTTTTGGAAAAACATGGACATGCTCTTTTGCAGCTACACTGCATTCTGGAGCGGAGAGAGAAGAGCATGCCAAAATATCAGACATCTTCAACATGCACTTTGCATGCAGTCTGTAATATTTTCCAGCTCTTGAGGCTCCTTGCAAGAAAGGAAGAGTTAACTCAGTGGGAAGGAGCAGGGAAGACAGGGCAGTATACAAGGTAAAGTATCCAAAAGCAGCAAATGTCACTGCTCACATCCAGAATCATGTGCAATCACATTATGCTCCACAGGACTGTGCTGCCAAAGTCAAAAAAAGAGTGAAAATCCTCACACCAAGTACTGCTTTGACAGAAAGGAAGGCTGCAGTCTCTGAAGTACCCAGCAGATAATTACCTGTTTGTAGACATTTAGAAAAACCTATTATTTTGTAATATAAATATTAGGTAGCAACAAGTGCAGCTGTGGCAGGAGGAGGGAAGGGGACTAAGTCCATCCTAACATCACCTAACTGGACTGCAAACAGAGATGGCAAACCAGAGGTTTTGCCAGATGAAAGAACACTGATGGACAAGAAGCTGCTAGCAGAAGCAACAAAATAGGAAAAAAAACCAGTCCAGCTTCCACTCCTAACACACAAGGTATATTTGTGGTCAGGATGCCTACAGGAGCTAAAGTTTTAAGTTTCTACAACTTGAAAATAATTTGCAAGGATGTATACCTTGCTTGGTGCTGTTGCTGAATGAAGAATGGATGAGAGTGAAGCTAAAGCAATGACAAGACTGATCCTGCCAGCCAACACCAATGACAGCACTGATGATGTCCACCAGGGTGCCTGCAGGGGGTGGTGGAAAGCAATGAGTTTAACAGACTGAGGTAAAATTCAGAACTGTTCTTGCTCTGCTTCTGCTTCTTACTTTCCCTTTGTTGTTCTTTGCGGTCGTCTATTCTAAAGTTAAAGACTGTAATGGTAGAACATGGCTTGGATCAAAGAGGATTACTCTAATGGAACTGCAAAAGGATCCTGTATTTGTTCTATTATTTTCCCTTTCCTGTAGCCAAATAATCAAGAAGCCAACAAAAAACCCCTATGCTGTATTCAGACTAAACAAAAGGGTACTGCGTAGTCCAGATTCATTACAGGGAATATAGAATTCCTCCACAGTTAAAATTTATCTTCCTGTTACAGGCTCAGTTTCTTCCTCTCTGGCCGAGCTGTGTATGAAATGTTATTCTGAACACAACTTTTCTGAAGATTGCGGAATACATCATTGAGAAGGTTTAAAAATCACCTCCTTTCACTTCTCATCGACGATTCAAAGATCCTCCTCTCCAATATCTCTAATTAGGCTAGAATTTTCACAGGAGCACAAGCAGAAGTTGGTACCCAGCTTCAGTTGAAATGCAATAGGAGTTGGGCATTAGCTTCCTTCCACTGAGTGTCAATCTTTATTAAAACATGGCTTGACTTCAGAACACCCTGGAGATGTGCTGAGCTGTGCTTGCCTGCTTCAAACTGCTCAACTGCAGTATGAAAGGGAACCTCAGGGGCAATTTCCTGAAGTATTTTTTAGGGCTATTACATGGGGTATAATTGGCAACTTAAAATGAAGGGACACAGCTGCTGTGCCACATGATGAGGGTGGCTCCTGTAATCTGCCCTGTTAACCTGTCATTCCACAGGGCAGGAATATTTTTGCTGATAATGCAGTAAGCCATAGTGCCCACATTTTGACAACTAAAATTCATTTCTGAATTGGCAGGGACCAAAGAGAGCTTCTCAAAGCAGGGAAACCCAAGCTGGGATTCCCTTTGGTCTGTTTCAGGCCGTGGGATACAAATATGTCCAAATTAGAAAACAGACTAAAATGTACTAAAGAGAAGGCTAAATTTTAAAAACTGCTCCTCCTATTATAGAGGATTTCTACACAAACAATTTCAACTATGTGTTTTTTCAAAAACGATACCAAACACTGGTTAATAAACCAATTTCCTACAAGTGCTCCCTTAATTACCTTGAAAACATACAGTAACAAGATGTGCCTTGGAGTTATTACATAAACTTAAAATTAAGAATGAATTTTACCAGAGATTTTCTGTTCCAAAAGTCTAAATGAAGTCTACTTGGCTATTTTGCTGTAATATAAACCAGGGCCAAGAGGAAGGGAAGTTCTCATCTCATTTACATTATTGTAAAGCAAGAGTAACTCAATTAAAGTCAATAGCTTTGAACTTGCTTAAACGAGACAAGACCTATAAGGGATTACAAGGTTGTTTTAAGCATGCCCAATAAAGAAAAAATGTCTTATCAGGTTTTACTTACATGGCCTGCAGCAATCCAAGTTGTACGGCCTCAGTTTGCTGCTACTAGATTGGTTTTGTGTTTGCCAAGTATAAACTGTGCAATTTAGCACAGCTCTGTGTAGTATTTAAAATGCAGATCTCTATCGTTTCTCCCTATGGTGTGTCACCCCCTCCCCAGAAGAAAAACAAACACTAATATGGACATTAATTGCAAAGCTACAGACAGCTTTGTGGCATAAACAAAGTCTTGGAGATGAAGACAGAAAATGCAAGAAGTTTTCACTCACATATCTGACTGAAAGCAGCAGGGTAATCTAATCTGATTTTCTCTATGTCATACTCACAGAACATGAATCAAATTACTCTTTGGTCCATAATTTGGGTTTGACTAAAGCAAGTCCTTCTGAAAGGCATCAGGACCAAGATGAAAGCTGTACAGAGCAGGAACCTGTCATCTCCCTCATGACTTCACTCTGCCTTAGAACTGCTCTTGCTTTAAAGACATTTGGATCACAAATTTGTTTATATTCAGCTAATCATGTTCTTCCCTGACGGACTAAAAAGCCTGCAGAGCTTTTGTCCCTGTGGAGATACTCAGGTTAGACAAAACCATCTTTCAACCTTTTCTTTCTTTCTTTTAGTACCCTAAGGAAGGCTGAGCTCTTTAAGACTCTCACTGCTAGGCTTTTTCCATCCTTGACACTTCGGAAAGGTTCTTCTCTTAATGTTGATACTAAAGATGCATGTTGCATACCAGCAGTGTCTCGCTGCTGCCACAGGGACACGACAACACTCTTACCCCTTCCCTAGAACTCCTACTTGCTGCTTCTCTGATTGATTAAAATATATAGGACAAAACATGGGGCCAACTGAGGTGGAAATATGGTTTACTGTTGGCCAAGCCTGCTCCCTGCAACAGTGATAAACTTTGCTGGTGACATGTTAAAAATTTACCTTGAATCATTGGATGCATTTGTTCAAACTCTAAAAAAGGCCCAGGAGGATGAAATGCTGAACACTGTAAAGCAACAGAAAGAGGGAGGCTACAGAGAGAACCAATGTGTGTTTAAATACAGAACCTGTTCTTCCATCATTAGGGCAAAGATGGAGAAGAGCCTTCAGTAAGTGAAGATTGCCTCACAAACAAGAAAACTGACATGAAGAAAAAACAGATAGCCAGGTCTCTAGCTTCTTTTTTACCATGATCTTCCCAGCAAACCTGGGCCAGGGAGATACAGGATAAGCACTGTCATAAATCTACTATTTTGTTAGTTGTTAAGGTTGGAAATTAATTAGCCCTATGATTAACCCTATAGGTAAGATATCCTTTCATCTTGGAAAAAAGATTTCAGTTCCAGTGCCAAAGTCAGGCTACGTCACCCAGACAATTTCAGATACTCCTGAAGAGAGAACTCAGGTCATTCCTCCCTTTGGGAAACTGGGAAAGAGGGACTCGTTGCACAGAGGCAGCTTCCCAACTCTGCAAATTCATACGGAATGAAAGCTGCACTGATTAAATTTTCATGTAAGTACCAAAAATTCCTTGAAATGCTTTTTATTGCAAAATAAATGGTTCCATCATGGCATGGAGGGATGGAAAAGCTTGACGCATGTTCTTCAGGGCATGTGCCTGTCCTAGCTGATGCACATGGGAGTTTATGCCAGAGCAGTTTCCTGAATTTAATCGTGGCTGTGGGCAGGCAGAGTGTTTGGGTGGTAGCAGTCTTACAAAGGACAGCCTGCTTAAAGTTTTCTTTTTCCCTTTGCAACTGGGCTCCCGACACTGGAGCTGAAAATAAATCAACATGATGACTGTGAGGAGCTGGGCAGTGAAAAATTCTACCAGAAAGGCCTCTATTGAAAGCTGAGAAATACACAAAGCTTGGGGAACGTTAGGAAGCAAGCCTGCTGGTGTACAGAAGTGCAGCGGGGGCATACATCTCTTGTCTCTACAATATTGGTTTCTATTAAGCTTTCTTTTAAAAGTGATCATTACATCAGCTGGGTTTCAGTCCCAGTGCAAAGGATGCTGAAAAAGTATCAAATACTCTCCAGGGCTTCCTGCCACCCCTACCCACTGCATTTGAACCATGCAAATTAGACAGAATTGATATTAGAATGCTTATGGCTGGGAAAGAACGATGTATTTCCCATCCTTGGGGCATTTTTCATCCTGTTTATATGAATACAGACATGCTAGGCATATACTGCTAATTCAATGGGTTACAGGATATTCAGCGTGCAGACACTCAGCCACTGCCCTGATTTGGAAGGTCCAAATCCTAAGTTAAAACCCATCTGAGTTCACAAGCAATCCATACGGAAACCAAGGGGCACGGAGGTGCCACCCAGGAAGCTGGTTTTGGTCTTGAGTAGCTAAAGGTGGTACTGCTTCCTTCTACATTTTGAAAGAGGAGAGCAGAGGATCAACATTACTCTCAATATGTTGGAGCCGTACCCAGGGAAGTAACCAAGCACAGAGGCACCTCCTTCATCTCTACCCCTCTATGAAGAGGAGCACATCAGTTGTCATGGCATCTCTGAGTGCTAAGCCAGCACTGTCTCCTACAGTTGAGGGAATCCAGACCCATAAAAGCCTTGCCTAGCTGAGGCAACAGAGCTCTTCATCTTTTAAACCCACCACACTCTGTCCTCAAGGGCTGTCCTGCCACAGAGCCACAGCTGCTGCGCTGAGGGGATTTGCTGGTATCAAGCAGAAGGGGGAGACAAGACCTCAGCTTTTCTCCTGATCCCCAGGAACTTCTGCCCACTTGTGACCCGCTGCTCCTTCCATGAGGGATGGATGAGCAGGCAGCGGGTCAGAGGGGAGGGCCATGAAAAACAGCTCCCCTCCTCATCGGCCCAGCCCCACAGCAAAACCACAGCGCTGGTCCTGCCAAGAATTCGGTTCACATTCTTCACTCCCTGTGGTAGCCACTAGGCCACACGGCCTCCTTCAATCCATTTGCATTTTATTAGGTCTTTTCATGCACCAGGGGACAAAAGAACAAGCCACTTCCTCCCACTGCGCAGTCATTTCACACTTCAAATGGACTATACTAACCTTTATGGTGGAGCAGCTGCCAAGGAGGAGGGGTGGGAGGAGGCAGGCAGGGCTAGAAGGACACAGCAGCGTCTGAAGATGCAGCCTTAGCTCCTCTCCCAGCAACCCAGAGGAACCCAAATCAGCGTAGAACAACACCTTCCCCTCCCACCCTCACCTCAGGGGCACCCCGAGCTCTGCAGCCACCCAGGTGGCATTCAGCCCAAGTGCTTTCTGGACTCACCTCCCACCCCCAGTAGGTGCTGCTGAGTTTATAGCCTGTACCATGTCCGTAGTCAGAGCATCAAGTAAGCTGGTAATAAATTCAACCTTCTTCCCTTCTGGGCAGCCTGCAGAAAGAAAAGAGGAGGTTTACTGCAAGAACACACAGGACTTGTCTCCTACCATGGTTCAGCAAGGATCAGCCAGAACCTCCTTTGTCTGTAACGCAGCAGCCATCATTGCAGTCCCTAAGGAAAGGCAGAAGAATCCCTCAGTGGGTTCCTCTGCGCAGCAATTTGTCCTGCAGCTTTTTGTCCAGGCACACAAAGGTTCACCAACAATATCTGGCAGGAAGACCGTGTGGTTAGCTTTATGGCCTCTCCCAGTTCTCTACCAGCGTGACCACAGGGATCTGCTGGAAGCGCCTGGCAGACGGGAGTTCCCATGGTGACACTTACAGAGAAGTTTACAAAACAACTTGTTACCTCCTGGGTCATCTTCCTCGGCAAACGTGGCTCTTCTGAGGTCCTAAGTGACATCTTAAAGCTTCCCAAAGCATGGGCCAAAGTGAGGACTGCTGCTTGCACTCCCCTCTTCAGGCACAGAGTGTTGCCTGCCAGCAGCTACCACAATATTTCAGTTCTTTGCATGACCACACTGCATGGGAAATATGTCAGTCTAAGTCAACATGTCCCCAGCCACTGCTGGCTTAAGCAGGACAAAGCAAGCTGAAGACAAGCTTGGTAACCATTTCCATTACTTAGTGCTGAGGCCATCTAGTTCCCCACCATCACAACCACAGACTGACACAACCTCCTGCCCTTAACAGTGCCAGCCTGTTATGACACAGCTAAGAAGAAATTCTCCATCTCCTCACCTTTATGAGGCAATCTATGCTTCTTCCTTACTTCTTGAACGAGTAAAAGCATGCTTCACTTACTACCACATTAATACTCCATCAATCTCTCTAGCCTACCAAGGAACAAGCATACTCAAGTTCAACACACCACCTCCAAAACTGTTCTCCAAAACTCATCACCTCTCATCCTATTGTCTTCTCTTGATGTGATGGAGAAGCCATCCCTCACCTCTTCTGTTTCCCCAGACCACCACACACTACCAGTTAGCAGCAGGCATCAGAAAACAGCCTCCCCCAGCAACAAACAGCAGTGTCAACACTTTCTGCTTTTCTCAGACCAGCAGAGAAGTCCTAAAGACAGCACCAAAAACTTACTGTGATCCCTTGACAGCTAAAAGCAGCTTGCACACTGATCTGACAAAACTCCCTCCTTTGCAGTACTACAGGCTCTGTTCTCTGTAACAGTTAACCAACACTCCCTTGCCTGTCTCCATATTATGGGCATTACACACGCACACCCCTCAGCACTCATTTGGCACATGGTCCAGAAAATGTCAGCATTGTAATGGGTAAGCTGCTATGGCAGCCAGGGTAGACCACTCACTTAAAGAAGCTTTTTGTTGCAGCAATGAGAAGGTTGAAAAACCATTTGCTAGAAGTCATCTCCCTGGGGCCTCAACATCTCACCGTCTGCAGGAATTAGCAGCTTGCCATTTGCTGTGTGCAAGCAACGCTTTCCTTCCTTATTTCTTTCTTTCTTCTGGCCACAGCCATGACACAGTTTGTGAAGAGGTGTGCAAGGATCTAGACTTACACCTCCTACAGCTTGGACTCTGCAGGCTCTCTTCACACAGGTCAAGGAGCACAGTTGCCTGCAGTACTGAAAGTCTGAAGAATGGGCAAACCTCTGGAAGAAGAATGAGGTATGTGGTTCCCCCTTACAGAACTGAGTGCAAATGGAATGATCAGTCTCAAATTAAAGCAGTTTTTTTTTCTTGAAATCCAGTTCTGCTAAGAAATAAGAGTGGGGAAAAAATTTTAAAAAAACCCATCCTCTCTCACCCCCTGCAGTTCTGGCTCACCAGTTAATTTCTGCATACAAAAGCAGCTAATCAATCAAACCTCAAGTCTGCATCAAAAGACCATGCAACACAACATCTCTCAGGCAAACAAACCAGGATCAGGTCCTTCATCTCCCAGTATTTTCAGTGACAAGAACCATCATTCCAGACAACGCAGCCAAGCACAGAGCTGAAAATTTCCTCAGGCACAGAAAAGTGGCTTGAGCTGAGAGGGGAACTCTCCTGGATGCTGGGATCAGACCACTAAGCTAGAGCATCATGTGTCCCTCTTGGCATCAAGCAGTTGCTGTCCCCTTGTCCAGCTGCAGTGCAGAAGGGGAGGGAGAAAAGAAGTTGAACCATTCTGTCTTCTTGAAAGAACAGAAAGTCTCAAAGAAAAAGCCCAAGTGCAAAGGATTTTCAAGGAGGAATTCTGGAGGGAGAGGCAGTAAAGCAAGGGGAGAAGGGCATGGGGAAGGAAGTAAGGTTATTCCATTTTGTGATTTCCTAAGGAAATTAGTCTTAATGCAATCATTCAGCTGGTTTCCCTCCCCACCAAAGTAATACTTGAACCAATTGGCCAATTTAATTCAAATGTGAGAGGCAGGCAGATAGGAAATTTGTAGATGACTTGTGAAAACGAGGAGCTGCATAGGAGAGTGTTCTGCTGAGTGCAGAGCTGCTAAGCAGAAAGCTATGGGGCCCGAGGGCAGGAGCCAGCAGGAGGAGAATTAGGAAACACAGAAGGCAAATCTGAAACAAATCTCATTTCCTTTGCTAACCTGCTCAGGGACAAATCACTTTATGCTAGCCCTAGAAAGGGCCAGGAGAAAAAGAAACAGATCCAGAGCTACCAGCTCTTTCTGCAGAGTTCCTGGCCTCTGCAACTCCCTCATGCTGAAGAGAGAGCCATTGTAGCTTCTGTTTTCAAGTGGTTAGCCCCAGCTCAGGAGAGCAGTGGTTGACCTGTCAGTGAGGGCCTCTCACTCTACTCTATGCCTTAGAAAGACATTGGGAAGGAAAAATCCAAGCACAGGCAGGTAGGATAGTGTTTTTAAGAGCAGCATTAGTTAAGGGACCTTGGAGCACCAGGAACACTGCCCTGCCTGGTCCATGCAGTGTCAGGGAGACAGTTGGTCCACTGACAATTGCCACCTGTGTCCTCTTCTGTTGCTCAAGGGTCACCAAGCTTCTGAAAAGCTCTGCTCAATGGAAAGGATCCTGTCCCAGCCAGGCTTTCAAGAAGAAGTTTCAATGCTGAGCCTGTTCTTCCCCCAGAGGACCTCCAGGCATCCAGGTTTCTTTCCTGAAAATTCTGATCCCAGACATGTTTTCAAAGGGCAGACAGGCAATAAACTGGCCCCCAAGACACTCCCAGCCTTTTTCCAGTTCACTGCTGAAACTGGAAGTGATCCAAAACAACACAGAATAAAACCCATGGTAAAACATGCACGGTGAGGGAAATCCCCCATCTCCTCAACAATATTCTTATCCTTTTAAGGGTCCCAAAGTGAGACACAGGAAGAAGTCAGAGACAAGATCTTGTTCCTCTCTGACCTGGAAGTTCTCTGTCCTTGAATGGATCATCAATCTCTGTGCTCTTCGATCTGGCGTCGCTTTCACACACTGGGGTCTCATAGCTGAAAAAGGAGAAGAGCAGATGCTAAACCATGTGATACAGCTTTAGTGTCATCAGATGGTTGCTAAGGGGTTGTGCTTTATCTGCTTACTGCAGGGAAAACCAATAAACTTGTAGAAGAAATATTCTCAAGCATCTGTTTGCTTATGGGCAGTCAGCAACAGCAGCAGAAGTGCAGAGAGAAGCCAGAGCATACTCTGAAGTCCAGTACCAGCTACCAACCCAAACCCAAAACCAGCACAGGCCCTCTTCCAACTCCTGTGGACACAGTCTGAGCTTTTTTTTTAAAGCTGTCCATGCTCTGCAGAATTACAATATCTAGCAGAGTTTGGGTCCCAACTCCTAGGGACCTGTTTTTAAAACTTGCTAGGCCCACAATTTGTTTCTAAACCTCAAGCGAGGAAAATATTCCCCAGGTAGTTTGAAGATACAGAGTAACTTAAAGAAAAATCTATTGCTGGCTTAACAACCTATCAATGCACAACCAAGCAGTCTTCTAAAGCTGGACTGCTCAGGATCCAAGTGGCTGCAGAATGGAAGCATAAAGTAGATGATAATGCAACAAAGCCACTTGTCTTTTCACTGCTCATGCCCCATCTGTACTCTCGAGCAAACCTCTGGTTCCTGCTACCACCCAAAAGCTTCAGGCTAGAGGAAAAAAAGGCAGCTTTGTGTGACTACTTAAGAGAGAGAGTAAGGGCAGCAGTTACTACACACCAGCTCCTACAGAGAGGGAGCTGCCTAGCAACGTTCAATAGGGAACATCACCTGTAGCTCTAAGGAAGGTAGTACAGAGCTGACTGCTCTACACATAGGAACCTATACAGCAACAGCATTTTTCATATCACACCTTCTCCAGGCAGGTACCTCAGCAAGCCTAGAGCTCTTACCGAGTGGAGGTGCCAGGCAGCGGGCGTCCCGTGTCCACCAGGACACACCAGCAGTACCCAGTGGACTGGTGGCACTGCACTGGTTTGTAGAGCCCCCCGGGAGCACACTCGGGGATGACGATCCCCTCGCGGGGGTTCTGCCTGGCCTCCTCCAGGGCGCTCTGCCTCTCCTGGTCACACGAGTGGACTTTCTCTGGAAGACAGGATGGAGGGTGGAGAGAAAAAGTCAAATCAAGATCATCTTCCTCAGCTGAGCAGGATAGGGGTGTCTCCTTCACATCAGGAGACCTTTGTGTCTGTTTCCTCCTCAGCAAACACCAGCACATCTTCATCCCTAGGGACTCTGGGGTCGAGAGCTTCCTCCCACATTCAGCCCTGACACAACAAGATTGTGGATTATAAATATTGACTGCCAAGTGCCCAGCAAGGCAGGAACAGCAGGAAAAAAAATTATTCCCAAACCCTGGGTTTTGGAATAGAGCTATTAGACAACCGTGATTCACTGCTACTGCAGCCCCAGGGTAAGCACCCCTAGATGATGTTTTCTCATACTGACAGATCCTAAACCGTGACTTTCTGTTCCAGTCAAATGAAGGAGGCAAAACCCTGCACTGTCCCACTGTCTCTTTCTCCAGACTGCAATGCACTCTTCCCTCCCAAAAGCATCCCTCCAGCATGATCCCGAGAAGAGCAAAAAGTTATGTTTTGACACCACGTTATCCAGTGCAGGGAGGGCCTGCACACAGCTCAGCAGGGAGTAGAATGGGAGAGGTGCCAGGCTGCTGCCTCTTATATGGAACAGCCTTTAAAGGCGGAAGAGATGCATAGAATACCTGGATGTTAAGACTTATTTGGCTCAAAAGCCAGAAGCTCTCAATTACAAGTCTTCAAACATTCCAGCCCTTTGAGTAGCAGGAAAATTATTTCAACTTTGGAAACTACTGAAGGTATCACAGAAACAAAAGAAAAAAAAAAAAAACCAAAACCAAAACCAAACAAGTATGTAGGACAGAAAGCAGTCAAGGCAGCTGACCACAGGATTTAAAACATGTTTAAGTCTAGGGTAAAAAAGGCAGCAATATAACTCCTAAATTTTATCCTTAGGGAGAGTGACAAAAAACAGAAGCAGGAACAGTTGTTCTCTCCTCCCCTAACATTCTTCTCACTTACAGTTCACTGTGTTTTTTCTTTTCTTATTATACATAAGCCACAACATCTGAAATTCCTTGCCACAGCCAAGAATCCCCTCAAGCTTTCAGTACATAAAACGGTTCAACATGGCCAGGTAATAACACCACAGGTACATCCCAGACCTGCAGCTGTTCGGACAGTCAGCCAGCAGACATGGCATGGCCTCAGGATCCTGCCTGTGGGACAGGATCACCACAACTAACACACACTCACCATTTCTATTTTGCCTGCCTGTCTGTACCCCAACAGCTACATCTTATATTTTGGTGGCAAATTCCAGTGCAGAGAGTAATTTTTGTACTACGTTTGGGGAACAAAAGGGGTGCTGATTCACAACTAGAATTCCTCAGCAGGTAGGACACAAAACACTCCAGCAGGTCTGCAGAGGGTCACCTGAGTACAACACGCTTTGGGTACCAAAAGCACTTTTATTTGTTTCTGATTGAACTGTAGCAGATAAGAGAGACCCAGAACGGTCTCCCTCTCCTTAGCCTTTCAGCTCACTGTTGAGGCTGGGAATGTGAAGGGCACCTGAACTTTACCCCACACAAATCCACACAACTGAAACACAGAATAAAAACTTTTAAGTGTCAGCAAGTCTGACTCGAGCAGAGGGAAACTTGATCGGGAAGGAGCAGGAGGGGATAAAGTCAACAAAAACTGAAAGGGAGCTCAAGCCTCAGCTGATATTTAAGCTGACTTCATTTTGCTGACAGATTTCAAATCTGAAAAAAAAGTCCCATGGCTGTTCCCAAGGTGTATGTGGACAGAGAAGTCATTGAGCGAGAGGCCTGCAGGCTCCTTAACAAACCACTTACATCATGAGGGGCCTCCACTTACCCACACGTTGCAGACAGCAATTCACACCTTGGCCCTCAGGTGAGCAGGATCATTCAGGCAGCTTGGGGAAGCAAAACCCGAGCCAGAATTCCCTATCAGCATTTTATATAATAAGAAAAAGGAAAAAATATGTTTTTCTGAAGAGAACTACATCCCAGGAATTTTTCTGTTTAAATCTCCAAAGCTTCCTGAGTGCACAAAGTCAAATCAAGATCTCTCAAGTCCTTTAAGAAACTAGCACTAAAAATTACTCTGAAAAAAAACTAAAGTGGTTCTTTTTGTGTGTCAGAAACAAACAAACAAAAAAAAAGCCATTTTATTGAAATCAAGGGAGAAAAGAAAGAATAAATGCCTTTTAATGAGTTAGCATGTTATTTTACATGCATTTGCAGTTAAGTGTGTAAATCACAGAATAAATGTACATACTTACAGGTTTGTACTACGTCACAAAAAATGGCAAAAAATTCCCTGCACATATTAACAGAAATTTGTGGGAGTTGAAGAGTCACAGCATTTACTACCCAAATACAGAATTAATTGGTAGTCACCCATGTCTGAATAGTTTAAAGGCTGAATGAAACAAATCTCACAGGCTTTCTTCAGCTGACAGCCAATAGACATGATGATGGAAGATCTGCCACTGTCACCAGTGTTCGGTGGCCCGTCACTAGCAGTGCCAGCACTACAACTGAAAGAGCAGGGAGATCACGTTTTTCTCATTTCTAGCATACAGCTAGAAGAAGCCACTAGGAAGGTCTCAGCTGTTCCATTACATCCTGAAGAACAGAAACCAGCCACACTGGGGCAAACCAAAGGCCCAAGTTGGCTGTTTCACCTCAAGCTGTGGCCAAAAGCAGAAGCTTAGAGGAGAAGAGAGGAACAAGACAAGCATATACTTCTTTCCACCTTTTTTTCATGTTTTAACCAGTTGTGGATCACAAACTTGCAGAGACAAACAGAGTTTGTATTTTGTGAGTAGCAATGGTTTTTCCCTTCCACCAGTTTGCCATGTCTTCCGTCATAAACTTTTACTATGACATCCTGCAGCTAGTTCTGTGGCCTGACTACACACTCTGTGTGGAACACAGCACATCCTTTGGTTTGATTTAAACTTGACTCCAACTAGTTTTGTTTGCTGACCTGAGTTCTTCTGGAGGATGAAACAGTGAACAGAGTTTCCAGTCTCCCTCTCTGCCTCTCACTGCCTGAGAGCTTCCTACTTCATCTTTTTTACATGCTGAAGAGTGCCAGCTGACCCAGTTCTTTCTCTGAACCCTCTCCAGATCCACCATACCTTCCACCTTCCCCAAGCTAGAGCAGATCAGAACAGCAAAAGCACTAACACTAAAGGGAGGCTCTGACAACAGCCTTATGGAAAGTTCCTTCGGTGGCATCTGTCTACTGAGCAGAAGAAAGTATGAACTAGCACTAGCCCTCAGAGAGAGTCTTTCCTCAAGGCTGCTACTCTAACAGCACTTAATGCCCTCAAAAAAAAAATAAATATGAATATTAGCAGTTGGGGTATATTTCAACGGCCAGCAAAATCATCTGGGAAATCCATACCATCAGCTTCCCTAGCATGGGACTTGGCATGGACTGCATACGCTGTCACCCTGAAAGATGGTCTTGCAGGTAGTGAAGGGACCATCAAATGCTATCCCAGCTCCAGGACACTGAAGTCAGCCTGTTCCAGTCAGACTGCTTACTGGAAACTTTGCTGTTGTTGCCAAGGCCAGGTTTATGGAGGATAGCAGAAGCCTGTGACCAAGCTAGAAGGTTTAATGCCAGCTATGAAATTAAGCTGTCATCTTAGAAAGAAGCATGTATTTATTACACATGCAGGGTACTTAAAAGCCTATTCCCCATTTGAGTTAATGGGGGTTGCAAGCACAGAAAGATAAAGAAAAAAGCTTTTCCTTCTTTCCCTATATTAAACTTTTAGAGAGAAAATACTTGAGACAGTAAGTCAGTGGGACACAAACAGCCTTCCCAGGACCAACAATAATATTACACACTTTTTTCCCAAGGTGCTGTCATATTCCCCTGTTTTCTGCCATCCCTCCTTTGTCTTAAGACAACCATCAGCAAAGAAGCTGAGTAACACTTGCCAACTTGCTGTTGCTGGGGAGCAAAACCTTTGGGAGACAGCAAATCTACACTGCAACAAAAGCAATGACAGCATAAAAAAAAGCTAGGGAATTCATGCTGCACACACAAAGGAAGGAATCACGGACAGAAATATCCATTTTACCTTATCTGCTCAGCTCTAAAATGCTGTTTGCTCCTTCTTACTTTTGCTTGCTTCTAACACTCCTTAAAACAGTTTTAAAGGCAGCGTCTCTGAAGCCATGAGCTATTGCAGGAAAACAGGGCTTGGACATCTGCAGCTGAACATTATTTATGCAACAATTTTCCCCTAGTAATGGCCTTCTGAGAAATACATGGTCAGATTCATAAAAAGGTCTCTCATTTCTGGTCCCTTAAGTACACACATTCAAACATACATCTAGTGCCTGCACAATAAAAATAAAAATGATGGATGAGGTAAGGGATTCATCTGACTGTCTAATAAACTAGATGGTTTTTAAAGTGATGGGGTGTTTGTTTACCTTACAAAGCTGAGAAGAGAGGTTGTCTAGCAGCATCTGACCAAAGGTCTGTAGTTAACAGTTCTCCTGCTCAGCTTGCAGGGCTAGATGCAGTCCATGTGCAGCTCTGGGGACAAGGCAGCCTCCCCCAGCTGCTCTCCTGGCTATCAAGAGCCAAAGGACCAAGCATCAGTCATCAGGGCTGCAAGAATGCTGTGGATGATTCCATAAAGAAAGATCTGCTATCCAATCACAGCAGATTAGCCTTTTAATGTTGCTCTTCTGTGCCCAATTTTCTTCTTATTAAAAGAAGGAGAGTGTGACATCAAAACCAAACACTTTGGAGAGTTCCTTGAGATACAGAACCCCTGAAAGACAGGAATCCTTCTTGCAAAGCAGGCAAAAAGAGGGTCTAACCTCTGCCTGTGCTTCTGCCTAGCCCCAGTGAACCTATGTGAATAGCCTAACACCAGAACTAGAGGCTCTGCCAGGCAGGGCAGATTTCCTTCCCTCTCCCTCTCTCATTTCTTTTGACGAGAAATTCTGTCTCAACCAGGGAAACCTTTCCCATGGA